ATCACGCCAAAGGGAAATGAACCACGCAGTGTAGTATCACTACGTCATAAGTTTCACGGTGACGTCATTAGTTGTTATTTTTTTTAATTCTTAGTTTAATAGTGACTTCTATCTATTATATATATATATATATATATGTCTTATTTTATGTTAACAAGAAGTATGATAATGCATCAATGCTAACAAAAATGTATATAAAGAGAAATAATAAAATTGTGTGTCTACATATATATAATGACTGATGATGTCATAAAAATGTACATGAATATGTTTTTTTTTACCTTGAAAATGATTACAAATATTCTATTCATAAATGAAAAAAAATCATACAAGAAAACTTTAGTGTTTGACTTATAGAGAAACAAGGCATTTTGTAGATTTATCGAAGTTCGTTATCGTATGATTACTGCCTACAGTCTTAAGGGGCCCTTAGACCAATTTGGATTACACCATATTTAGATGGCTGCCCGCAGATGCTTCAATGTCGTCTACACACGATCAATTTTATTGTACATCCCAGGATATTGTACAATAATTTTGATCGTCTATGGGCTGTTTAACGTAAAATCGAAGGGCAGCTTTTTAAACGAATGATTCGATTTCTTACGTGCGTGTGATGTCTAGCTACAAGAAAAATCTGAGGGATCAGTAATTCGAATATGTAATAAGATAAATACTGTCTGTTTTACGCGAGTAGCACACAATTGAAATAAAACACTTACTTCCTAGACTATAACATTGATTGAAATGTTTTCATCATACGGACGCACGACCTCAATTATTCGTTTATTAATAATATTAACAACAATTATCCATTATCTACATTATCTAAACGCTTAATGGACCAAGTAATATGTGAAAAGTCGAAATTTTAAACTTATAAGAGATATATTTTTCAGACTTAAGTGTATCAGTAAAACATGTTAGACCCAGTGGGTATCAAATCTACGACCCGTTGATGCTTAGCTATGCATGCTACCATATGCCAAAAAGTTTCGTGGCGCATATTGTTTACATGTTGTTACGGCTGGGGTATGTCCTCCTCATCCTATCCTCATCCATCTCTGTCATAAAAGAAAATGATCATATAGAATTTTCATGCGCGTCAAAGTTTCTTTAGCGTCAGGATATATAATAATATTTTACTATTCGTTATAATTAGAAGAACGGTATTCTGGTTTCATTGTCTATTAAAATGGGGTCATCGCCCGTTTCAGTCGCGAGATGGCGCTGATCCAAGTGAGCTAATTCCGTGCGCATGCTCCGTTGCGCAATGCAATGTAATGCAACGCGGAAATGATTTGTCTCTGAATAAACCCTGCATTGGAGCTTTAACAGGATTCAATATAGGTATAATAGTAAAATGTCCCAGTGTAGTGTACACCCCTGTGGGGCATGGGGCGAACTTATTTCTGGGTCCCGCAGAAATAAGTTCGCTCCATGCCCCCTACGATCGAAACACTGTTACTATAAAATAGAATTCAATCTCCATAGATAGTAGAGATAAAACCGGATCAAAACACCAGAACATTATTCTAATAAGTTAGGCGTGTTTCATGTTAATATTATACTAACATAATAATTATTTGCATAGGTCTAGTCCTAAGCAAACATTGCATACACGTTTTAATATCCTTCGGTGGATTAAAATTAAAACTACACCTCTATATAAATTTCACATATATTATGTAATAAATAGGAATATCTACTATGATTAGATGCACTGAAAAAATACAATAAACTTTATAAAATTACGAGTAATTCTAATAACATAATGTCTGTAATTGTGCACAATAATTAAAACAATAACTGTTTACAACTTTAACTTTATGTTTTGCGTTTGAAGTGTTTTATTTAGTAAATTTTTGGAAGGCTTTCACGGCCATCGTTCAGTATTTGGACTCTTTCGGGCTGTTCGGTCGATGTGAGCGAGAAGAATTATGAGCATAATTCTTCGAGCAATCGAGGAGTAACTTACCTTCTGATGATGGGGTCCGCGCGTGGGCAAACTTCGAGAACCTCTTCTCGCACATGTCGACCGAACAGCCCGAAAGACAATGATATGTTTTATTTAAATTTTAATAAGATTTTTTTAATATATAATACTAACTCTTCTTTGGGTGAATACAATATACAGTGTCCAATACAAAGATCGACAGCGCATCCTAAGATATGTTCTAATAAACAAAAATCTCATTCAACCTCCTCTGTCTAAAGTTCCGCAAAATAATTGGAGATTTTGTAATTTCAACTACGTAACTGTGAATTTGAGTTTAATTTTCGTTGCTGACAGTACAAACGAAGTCACGAAAAAGTTACACGGCGAAAATAAAACCGCGTCGTGAATTGAAAGGTAGTAACTGGAACTGACAGGTAGTAACTTTAACGGTGAACTTTTAAACTTTTTGTCACAGCAGGTGTGAAAGAATTCCACAACAAGCCTTTTTTGCCTCTTGTTTCACTTATAAAAAACTAGCCCGTGTAACGCGATATATTAGTTAAACTTATTTGAAAATGATTTTTAACTTCGGCCCGACGTTTCGGATGCTTTGCAGCAGCCGTGGTCACGGCTGCTTTGCTGCATATATTGTGTTTTAAACCGTTAAAGTGTTTTATTTTAAAGGGTTTATCTTAAGAATAATGTATTATTTATACAATTATGATAATTTTTAAATAAAACACTTTAACGGTTTAAAACGCGATATATTACTTAAACTTATTTGAAAATGATTTTTAACTTCGGCCCGACGTTTCCCTGTGACCACGGCTGCTGCAAAGCATCCGAAACATCGGACCGAAGTTAAAAATCATTTTCAAATAAGTTTAACTAATATATCGCGTTTTAAACCGTTAAAGTGTTTTATTTAAATGTGTACTACTCGCGTAAACTTTAGACAGTATCTAATTATGATAATTGTTATATTTTCATTGGCATTCAAGACGATTCTATCTTAAAATATATAAACAGAGAATTTCCAATAACATCTTTATCAAAATTCATAAGGTGAAAATTCTTATCGAATACAAAAATAGAATCTTGAATTACTTAAGCTTTTGGGTCAACGAATTTGCAGTTTATAAAGTCTTGTTGTTTGTATTTGTATCTTTTAAGATTGGAGAAAAACATTTTCATCGTTGAAGTAGATTGAGATTTACAATTGAAAAATATAATGTATCATAAATTATTCACCTCCTATTCAAGTTATTTTGATACTTTTATCACTTTGTTACTTTAAACGAAGCAGTTCTAATGGTTTAAAACGCGATTTATATTAGTTAACTCATTTTAATTTTACTACGGCCCAAAGCTTGGCAAAGGCCACGGTCAAGGGAGCTACGTCGAGCAGTAAGAGTAATTTAAATATTATATTATAAAGAAGGTAACTAACAATCGGGGTTTAAACCAAATTTTTTTTTAATTTCTACTCGCTAAATAAAACTGAGGGGTACATCATTAAATAAGTCGGTTTTCTACTTTCTTTATTTATATACAATTATATTTCTATTTATTAAGAAAACAGACACACAAATGTGTCTTTACAAGCCTCGTTTAGGACACCAGGATTAGAAAGAGAGTTGTTTGTGTCTTTTAAATTTGCTATTTAATTTTATTTATAGAAAATAATGTCTGTCAATTACTTTTAATAATTGTAATCAATAATATTTACTGTTTAGCCAAAAACAAGCTTTAAATATAAAAAAAAACAATAACTTTCTTAAAACAACGATTTCTTATAGTTAACTAGCAAAATCAACGTAGATAGCGAGTACAAATGAATTCTTCGATAGCCGGTATCTGCAGGCCGTAACGGACAAGACAGATGCCCCCTCGCTACCATAAATCCTTCTAATCTTGACAGAAAACCTCCGGGTAGGTAGCATTTATCAAAACAAGAGGTTTCCGGGTGAATTTGTGGGTATTATGAGGTGATAATTAGAGAAATCGCTATGGTCGCCCGTTAGGGACCTATTTCGGATTAGTTTTATTAAAATAAACGCAAAATATATCGGTGTAATTATTTACAATTTATTTTAACTACGCACGTTTTGTAGCAGCTGTCACTGCCGTTACAACAGTCGTACTGAGTTAACAAATACTACACGTTTTAGGTGGTTTAAAGTGTTTTATCTAAATGTGGGCCACTAACTTACACTACAGACAATGCGCAAATATAGTTTAAGTTTATAAATTATTATCATAAATGTTTGTTTATGTTTTAAAGTTTTAGGTACAAGATAAACTTTTTTTATTGATTTCGAACCGAAGTGTCAATGGCGTTAAGTGTGCTCTCTCGCGTACATTACAGACAATATTTATTAAGTAATGCTAAAGAGAAAGATATCAAAACTATTTTTCAGCTTATAATAGCGAGTTTACTATTTGTAATAAATTTGTATTTGTATTGTATTTGTTTTTGTATCTTATAAATTGTGTTCTATGTTTTATGAAATATAATTTGCGCGTCTGTTTAGATTTATCATAAAGGCTATTTCGGATCATATCTTGTTCTGAGTAATCAACATATTATGTATGTTTATATATCGTGATTTTTTTAAGAACACGACACAACTATGGACAGTTTAAGATGTAAAATATTATTTACTATAGTATATATAGTAATTAATAAAATATTCGTATTACAAACCGCGATTTATCTTATGTTCTTGCGCACACAACAGATATTTCAAAAGTTTTATGCATTCGTTGTACGAGAGAACTGTTGACACATTTAAGGCATTTAAACACTAAGTAGATTAAAATGATTGTCAAATAAATAATTACACAGACCAATGTATTTCTTCCTGGCTGTATTTTTAATAATAACAAAAATATTTCCCTCCTCACAACGAAAACTAAGCGCGCATCATCTTGCGTACAACGGTAATCCATACAGTTCTATTATCCGCTCGCCCACGCATTGTTTGCCTAATCTCTGGTGATTAACGCCTCCTTTGTTGTTGCAGGCATCCCGCCGATGTAAACACAAAGCCGAAATGAGATGAGTATGCGCGTGTCGTGGGCAAGGTGGTGTTGGATAGTTATCTTCACCACGTGCACCGCGAGGACCGCCAGCGACTGGCTCGACTGCGCCCACATCTCCACCTGTCGCTGCAAATGGTCCTCGGGCAAGAAAACCGCCACGTGCGCCTCCGGTGACCTACGCCGCCCGCCCACACTCTCGTCCGACATCCAAGTCCTCGACCTCCACGACAACCCCCTTCGGAACCTCCCGCAAGAAGTATTCTCCAACATTGGCCTATTGAATTTACAGCGACTCAATTTACGCGCAACCAAGCTCCGATCCATACACCCCGATGCGTTTCTAGAACTGCGTATACTAATCGAGGTCGATCTAGCCGATAACGACCTCGCCATCCTCCCCAGGGACATTTTCAGAGGCAACGAGAGGTTACGGCTGGTAGTGCTAAGTAATAACCCATTAACCATTTTACTCGCTGATCAATTCCCACCGCTGCCCCATTTACGCATGCTCTTGTTGGATGGATGCCGATTGAGGACGATTCACACGAATGCGCTGCGGAATTTGAAATCCCTAGAAACCATAGACTTACGTAGAAACCAATTGACATATTTACGTTTGATAACGTTCTCCTTACCGGCCTTGAAGACTATGTCTCTGTCTGGAAATCCGTGGAGGTGTGATTGTAGATTAAGAGAATTTAAAGATTGGTTCTTAGAGAGTAAATTAGGTACTGAGGAATTAGTTTGCGTGGAGCCGTCCACGCAGTCTGGGAACAAATGGCGACACGTGCCAAGCGAGGTGATGACGTGTCCGCCTGAAATTAAGTCGAGTACGTTAGTAGTTAGAGCCGAGGTCGGTGTTGCGACCTCATTTGGATGTTGGGTGCATGGCATACCGAAGCCGAAAATAACGTGGTTGTTCGATGGTGTGGACTTGCACAACAGCAGCGTCGATTGTGACATGGAAGAAACTGATTCCATAGTAGAAGATGACAATATAGAGGAGAGAGTACCGGGTAGCGTTAGATGGGTAAATATCACGTTATTTAATGTAACTTCGAGTGCTGCCGGCGAATGGACTTGTGTAGCGAAAAGTGTGGCAGGTGAAGCCCGCGCTGTAATCAGTTTAGTACTTCCAAGATCGCAAACGGCGACGGCCAGAACCGCCCCTGGAATCCCACAACTGCTGGGTGTAGTCTTCGGTGCATTAGGCGTATTAGCGGCATTGGGTTTTGTAGCTGCAGTTGGGTGTTGGCATTTTAGAAAAAGAAGCGTACCGCCGAGTCGAAGCTTCATGGACCAGGAAAAGCGATTAATAGATGCATCAGTAGTGGTGAGCTGTGATCGTTCTATCGCAGATATGGCGTCACCTTGCAATTTTGAGTTAACTGAGCGATCACTGTCCATCGACGAACAACCCAGAGGTTGTGCTTTTGACCCTGTGCATATAACTATTGAAGGAACCCCGGGTGCGTTCCCGCCCCCGCCAGCGGAGTTTGCAGTACCTGTACCCTACGGTAATATATTTATATCTGTACAAGTGTCGGGTCGCGGTGAACCGGGGAAATATCCAGATTTATTAAGCGGCGGAGCGACCTTGCCGCGACGAACGAGAACTTGCTGTGGAGCACCATACGATAACATGGGGCCCAGAGTGACAGCGACCGGGAGCTCCACTTGGTCTTTGCCCGGTGCCAGCGCGGACGAACCTTCCGAAACGCCAGTCCTCACCTTACCGCCTCCTCCGCCTGAGTTCGTCTCCCTTTAGCCTCGGCCCTTGGTACTGGACCCCTCGAGCTTGAGGTGACCTGGTACCCCAGATTTTACAAGTCAATTAGACTAATTCCCAATTTGATTGTATTACGATAATTTCGGATAATTTAACTTGTATATAGTGTGTGAAAGATGTGAGACATCCTGTGAGATTTAATATAAGGTTGTTATCAATATTGTATGATAATTGAAGTAAGCAAACTTGTTATTCGTACGTTGGGATGTTGACTCGAAAAGCAGTTAGTCTCGATCCACCTTGTTTACTAGATATTCTTTTCGTCTTCGCATTGTCTTCCCAACTTTTGTAAATATTGTTTATTCGTATTATACAATTTTCCCAAATATAAGACTGACCCCTTTGTCTTATTTTCGTCTCTCTTTGTATGTATAGAGCTATAATTCACTTGAGCCGATAGCTTTTCATTTTATTTGAAAGCATATAATGTAAAATAAATCGATCACATTATATAATGCAATATGTTGTTTAATTTGACCTTTCAAAGAGCATAAGTATAATCTATAATTTTCCTAAACTACGTTAAATGTTTTTTAATGAACTGGAAATGATAAGTAAGAATGAAACTTTATACAGACCAACAAATCTATAAAATTTATAAGATACATAATATAATATTATAATCCCTAAATAGTACCACAAAGGATATAAATGGTATTTTTAAAATACAAAGGAATAAAAAATAATCTTTTGAATAAAGTCAAGTACCAAAAACCAGCGATCCCTTGCATGCAAATTCAGAAGCAAATCGGAAAATTATTTTCACCAAAAAAACAGAGCAAAGATTTTTTGTCAGTAAATTTTGTTTGGCCATAAAATTAATTCTTACGCTCAATTTAACTGCCAAAACAATTTGTTGCGAGCGCTGTAATGCCTTCGACCCAGTTATTTTAAGATTTGTCAGTACGGTTTTATAGAAATCAGGAAATTGGAAAGCGCACACTCATTCACTGCAGCGAGGATGTTGACCAGAATAGTAATGGAATGCTTTAATTACACGAACTTTACAATTTCTTACTTAAACGAAAACGTTGACGTAGATTTTAAACACATCTTCATTAGAAGCCGTTATTCGAACCATTTAAACTTACGATATAGATTTACAATTCGTGACAGCGGCTAATGCAAGCATCTAAAAGTTCGACTTGTATTAGAAAGTAAGATAAGTAATATTCCGCGTTTAAAACCGTCAAAAATGTAAAGCTAAAATATATAAAAATGGATACTGTTCGTTCATCATTTTAATATGCTGAATGCGGGTAGATTAGCGTTTACTATGCACGCCGACCAGCGCTCATGACAGCTACCCCATGCGAGGTGCGAAGGCAGTACCTAGAGAACCATCGCACGAGCTGCGCGCTCGCTTGAAACATTTGATTTTATAACAATAGCAATATCCTCAATATAGTGACTGGGACGCCGACTGCAAGTACCGTGTGCTGAAGGGCTGGAGCGATAACAAGGCAAGGTTAGTGCTGTTTTTCACTTGTACTCAGTGTGGCGGTGATCGATCTACTCCAACTAGAATATACATATTTCAATTTTTACTTTATACAGCCTACTAAACATCGAACAGATTGATAACTCTGTGAAAAATTTGTAGGTATTTATACCCGACTAGCGATCCGCCCCGCCTTCGCTCGGATGCAATGCTGATACTAAATACATTACAGAAAAACTGTAAGTGTTGTTTATAAAAACCTTTCTCTAGAATTACTCTATCTATAAAAAACCGCATCAAAATCAGTTGCGTAGTCTTAATTTAAGCGCACATAGGGACAGAAAAAGCTACTTTATTTTATACTATGTAGTGATTCATTTCGATGACTATATCAAGCTGACATGTAATATAAAACAATATTCATACGACATAAATGGACTAAAGTTCGACATAAAACTAATATATATAATAATATATGCTTATAACCCGCGCGATTATAAAAATAATTACACCGATCGTTTATTAAAATCGGCTTAGCACTGTAAGTGCTAAAGTCGAACATTACATTACATACATTAATCGTGTATTTCTAAATATCGACTTTATATAAAATTAATTAAATATCTTTAAAAGTTTGTTAATTATCTGAAGTCAGAAAAACACAAGTGACCAAAGGTGAACATCAGCGCTGCAGTAAGAAATTTTAATAACTGGCAACACTTTATTTAATTAAAACCGCAGCTGGAGCATAATTCCACACTTATCACTTAAACCCTCAACTGTAGGACCATCAAAACACTCATTAAAAGTTTACAATGAACAGACAGGCTAAAATTTGGGTCATGGCACTTTTATATGAGAATAACCGATAGCCATTTGAGGTCAGTTTCTTTTGTAGACCCTTATTTTTATAAATAGATTTAAATAAAACATTTTAACGGTTTAAAACGGGATATATTAGTTAAACTTATTTGAAAATGGTTTTTAACTTCGGTCCGTTTCGGATGCTTTGCTACAGCTGTGGTCACGGCATCACGGCTTCAAACAACCATTTTCAGACTAACTAATATATCGCGTTTTAAACCGTTAAAGTATTTTATTTAAATGTATGTAAGCTATAGACAGTATTTAATATATTTAAATATATAAAAAATACGACGGCGGCAGGACTTGAATCGGTATCCACAGCGTTCCGTGCTGTTGTTGCTCCAACCTGTCCTGTGTCCTGTGTCCTAACTATCGTCAACACTTCAACTATAAACTGCGTATTACCGCTTACCCGTTTCGTTTAAAATCGATTTTTAATTGATACAATACCAAAAAAAATATCTTGTTGGTTTACAATCTTATACTTGTAACTGATATATATATATAATTTTGTCAGTCAATTCGTTTTCCATTTTATTTAATTTCGCATGTTTTTCCATTTTAGATAAGAGATGGCGTAACATTTAAAGTTTCTGCTTCAGGTTGTTACAAAATCATTTATTAAATAATGAGAAAAACATTTAATTAACCTTTTAACTGACGACGAAACTATACATTTTAATATTGTATTTACTGTACAAATTTAACTATTGATGAAGCGTGAACTACAGACAATACAATATAATCAAATTCTAAATTATATTTTAATAGCTTCAGAGATTTCCACAAGGGATGATTCCTTTAATTTTCTGCGGATGTCTGTATCTTAGAATTCATTGTAGCGTGAAATTAAAGTGACTCTTTGGCGTGGGTATTATTTGATAATGAATAGAACTATTTATATTTATAATATATTAATGGTTTTGTGTATTTATTAGTGCTATAATTAAGTTTAGTAACCCCCAAGTAATATGGTTATGAATAGTTATATAACAGTCATTGGAGATGCTTATAAAAAATATCTTTATATAAAAAAATTAAGCTTTATAATATTGTTTGCATAAAAACCTCTCTCAGAATATTTTAACCATATTTTCTAATTGGACACATTTTAAAATTAATTAGGTAGGAGGTTGATAATTTTACTTAGCGAGATAATTTAGTATAATTACAATAGACAAATAACTATCTCTGAAGCTGAATGGTAAACCTTATTTCGTAATATTGTAAGATAGGTCCTGGGTTCGAATCCCGGGGAAACAAGATTGTCTCAGTCGCGCAGGGGACAGTAAACTACTTGCCTGTAAAGAAAACCGAAATCCGTATATTTTGAATTGTCAAACAACGCTGTCTTAGGTTTATATTACTACAGTACAGAAATATTTTCCCCACAGTATGGGGCGATGACATTTTTATATTTACCAGCAAGCATTTAGTTGATCAGATCTCTGTGCCCGTGCATTCAAAATATTATACTGATCCGAAAATTCACTTTCATTCAAAAATAAAACTAACATCCACTTAACTACTAATTAATTAAAAACCTCACTATAGGTACCCAAAACGATCGCAAGGGAGTAGTTAGTAGATAATTAAACGCACTTTTATAAACCAACCAACCTGTGCATATGCCGTTATGACAATATATACACAGAGGCATAAATTACAGTGCCAAATAACCTTCAATACTTGACTTTCTCCTTCGTAAACCAGTGCCAAAATATTTGGCACGCAAATTTCATAGGATCTTGTATTTCGTCTTGCTCTTTTACGAAGCAATATTTCAACTTGCGACAATGCTGCACGTATGGCGTACTCTACACTTGCACAGTTTATTTACGTCTTATCCTTGCACGAAGTTGTATAACGACTAGTGAGGGACAGAAATTCGGTTCGCATTCTGTTTAACCGGATATTGAAACCGGTTTCGATGGACATTACCGAATATTGAAATAAGAAACTTAATAAAAAAAAATAAGGTAATAAAAAGGATATCAATGAATTGTTGTATTATCATAAAACCTCTTTTTTTATCTGGTCTAAGCTGTTGCCCACGACCTCGATCGTGTCCTGTCGTTCTTCCAAATTAATCTTAAAAGATAAGCACATTGTGTGTCAGATATTATTATAGATCATTTTATGACGATTAATTCTATGATATTTCTTGCATATCTCGAACCGTTTGGCTGCGTACGCAACGGAAACTCACAAAGATGAACATTTTTTCCCGTCTTCTCCATATTTCCTACTGCTCCTTCGCTCTTATTAGTCTTGGCGCAATGTTTCTTCAATAAATGCTCTAACCGACACAAAAATAATTTATAGTGTAATCTTTTAGTATTTCTATCGCATTAAGTCGCCCTGTAAAGGTAGACTAAGTTGTTATAAATCAATTAATAAATAAACTTACAAACTATTTACAGTAAATAATAAACTAGTTACTAAAAATAAGGGTAATTGTATCTAACTTATAATAAAGCTTCAACTAAATATATATACAGAGAGATAAGATAAAGTACAAAATAGTGATTCTATTAATATGTTCCCGGACGTGAACCGAAATTCGGTTACAACATTCGGGCCATCTCTGATAACAACTAAAACACATAAAAAAACCCAAAAAAACCAAAAAAAAAAAAAAAAACCAAAAATTTCAAGGCGGGGGTTCCCG